TAACTAAACGAACTTTATGGTTGTACGGCAGTGAAGCATCAATGCCAATACTGATGTTGCTGTCATTGATGATGATGATGATGATGATGAATTCAGCCATCGCGGGAGAGTTCCTTCTTCCAAAGACCATCTGGCATAACTTAACATTACCAGTCGGATGTTCCCATCAGACCCGACCAATGCTTCTGAGACGTCGATGGTCAAGCACTAACATCTTTCGTATGTCCTCTGGGCCACGTCTCTGATCCATATATCAGTGTGGATCACAGTGCCGCATTGTAAACTCTGCCCGTGATAGACAAACTCACGTCAGTTCAGCCTAATAGGTGCCTGAGGTTGGCAAAAGCTGACCTGGCCTTTCAGATTCGAGAAGTCCTCTTATCTCCGGCCAGTCCACCGGAACTTACACAGTCCCCCCGGTAAACAAATTTTTCTGCCAAATCGACTGATTGCTCTGCAAGTATATGGTTCGGGTTTGATCTCACAGTCTTGTAGCAGTACTTTACACCTTGCAAGCTTGAAGCGCATGCCAAACCGTGTGACAGAAATATTTAAGTTATTTAAAATCGCCTGCATTTGAGAAGGATCTGAGTCAAGAAGAGCAATATCGCCTGCATACTCAATGTCTATGAGGGAATGTCCCGGGAGCATTTTGACTTCCGAGGTTTCGGAGGCAGGCAGAGGAATCTCAAGCGGCACGTCAATACCAAAGTTGAGGAGGAAAGATGAGAGAGGACAGCCTCGTTTCTAAGCATCGAAAGTGGTGAACTCAGGACGAAGTTTGCAATATACTCGCACGCACCCAAAGGAGTTCGCATGCAGTGCCATCATAAGGGATGTAAATTTGGAAGGGACACCCCTGATTGCCAGACACAGCCAAGGTTTCTGAAGATTGACAGAGTCGGAAGCGAATTTCAGATCAAGAAAAACGACTAGTGTGGGACGTCTGAAGGATTGGCGCTGTTCAGGAGTATGTTTCAAGGTAAAGATATGGTTGATGCATCCCCAGCTAGAGCGAAACGCGGCTTGATTCTTACGAATCTCTCTCTTCCAATAATCAGTCAACCTATGCAAACTAATGCGAGAGGGCACCTTTGGTGCGACATATATCACGCTGATTCCACCATGAATTACGCACGACTTACTTGCACCCTTATTTGAAGATTGGAATGACGGGCGAGGAGCTCCATTTGGTTGGTATTCTGTTTTCATTCCAAATCTTTTGCAGTATGTCCTACTAGTAAACCTCTTTGCCGTCTACAAGATCTTTGAATGATAGGGTAGGCAGTGTACCACTGTATTGGTTTGGAGATGAAGCTACGACCAGTTCCAATCTTTTTTGTTTACTCGGGGTTCTTATCGCGTGACGAATGTATTCCTTTACCTCTACATTCCGCATCTGTGATGATTATTGGTGAAAATACCTTCATGCCAGCTGTGGAAAAAATGCAATAGTTGTTGCACCATTTATTGGTTATCGGATTCTGTCAGCTCGAATGATGAAGGCCGTGATATCAAATTTGCTCATTTGTACTTTGTACTTGACCATTCACGCGATTCGGATAATGAGGTATTTCTCTTAGCTGAGATAACTTCATATCTAAACTTCGAAGCCAAACTCATCACTATCGATCAGTCTAAGTACTCGTGAATCCGGCATTCCAGCAAACTACTGTTTGTCTCGGGAACAAAAATCACTCAATATCACTTACAGTTGCAGTGAAGTTGATGTTGTGAGATAGAGAGACTACCTCAAACTGTAGGAGCAAGAACGTGTACTGGCATACTTAAAAGGTTTGAAGAGAGAAGCAGGACAAAGCCGTCAGGTGTTCTGGAGCTTGGGTCACCGCCAAATGCTTGATTTATCTAGTGGTAATACATATATCTATTAGAGCGATTATATGTAACAAATGGTTTTAGTTGCCAGTCCAATTTTCCTTTCTACGAGAGTCAAAACTCAACCAAAATTACGAATGGGAGTTTGAAAAAAGCGGTTGTGGTTACGTCTTCACTTGCAATCCGTTTCTAAGTGCTCCATAGCGAGAGCTATTTGTCCTGCGTTATGTGGATGTCTTGATGCCTAATGAAATAGTATCGATCGGCGGCAACTCAATAAAATTGTGATCAGTGGTTTGTTGAAATGGACTTTCCGATTTCCGCCGTAGACTCGCCCTCAATTCCAGCTCGAATGCGCATCAGTCGTCACAACAGCGGATTTCTTTACTCTTTACACATGGACAGCTATCTACCAAGGACGAGGTGAAGTCCACCAGAGCAATCCAGCTTAGAGCTGGCTTCATGATGGTAGCCTTGAGCGCTACACACTTGATTCCCTCTCCTTGAATGACCAACCCATAGACTGATCTACTCAACAGGTTTTCTCAGGCTATGTGCGAACATATGCATGTACCAACATGCATACGCACGCGGAATCATGATACGAAGTTGGTTCAGCTCAATTTACAACTGATGTTATCATTTGCTCGGTCTTGATGAACGAACTTTCGCCTAGTGTGGTCAGTAATCAATGTCCAAGAGCTGATACTCAAAGTAGCAATAGATCTGTTAGAGGTCAGTGACTAAGTACTTGATGCTGCAACACTTAAAATGATGGCTGATTTGCAGGCGTTTAATCATGCTTGGTATGCAGATATTTCTTCGAAATCTCAGAAATTTCGTTGGTTACTTCGTCCAAGTGGATTGGACCGGAGGAATCAGTGTGGTGTGGTGGGAACCAAAGAGGACTTTCCAGAGATTTTCTGAGTTTCCTCTTCAATTTGAGACGGCCTCCTTTTACCTACACCTGCATGTAAACCCGTGGTTCCTGGCTTACTTCGCACTGGGTATATCACGAGAGGTCTCCCCTCCTAAATACTGTAGAAGAATAATCGAAAAGAATTGATAACTCAAGTTCCCAGTTGGATTGCACAAGCTAATACCCATGAACTCAGTATTTATAGGAATTACAAATGACCAGTACCACCAAGACATTCGGTATTGTAACCCTTCTTGATGAAGATAATGTTATCTTTTCATTATCTTGATTGTGAGATATAAAATCCTTCAGAAAACTGGGTGAGATTCAGCCATGTGGAGAGACTTCATTCGTATTTCCCTGACTCACCAACTTGTACTTGTCATCACGGTCTAATGCGATCATTTAATTCTATTCGATTTCAGTACCATTCTTAGCATTTCCAGAAAACGAAATTCGTCCTTCCAGCATCCGCATGAAACTTAGATGCGCCGCTGTCAAAAGGCGTTCGTCTTTTTAGCTCTTCGGTTGTCACGTCTGACTAACTTCTTGTGCTACATAGTCCTATCAGATTTCAAAGGATATTCTTGCGCTTGGTGGACAAAAAACCTTGTTGTCTTTTATGAATTTCGTTGGTTCCCTTGAACTTGCACAAGGTTTTTGGTCTTTATCTCCTCTAAGACTTTGTAGTAGGTGAAAAAAGTCCTCCATCCAACAAAAGCGTGTATTCGCAGCTCAGAGTGTTCCTACGCTCTTGGAACAGCGGTGACGATGAGCTTTAAAAGTTGTCGCATCAGGACAATCCTTGTCTGATTGAGCAATTGGGTTATGCGTTTTTTTCACATAAGAGGAGCACTTTTTTCGTGGATAGAAATATGAGACTGGTTACAGAGAAATCCAGACATGATTACAACTTGTGGTTGGAGTGGCGACTACCGACCCATCGTGACTCTCCACTACGTTCTCTAACAACGCAATGATGATGTCAACTCGATTGGTGATGAAACATTTACACTCACTCAGACTACCCACTCCAGTCCAGCGAACAAACTAACGACGATCTACGCTACCTGAGCAGCCAACATTCTCTTCAATAGCATATCCGACTGCATTCTAAACCAGAAAATATTTTGGGTCCACCCAGAGCCGAAGGAACGTGTCTCTCATTCCTTGAAACGCAGCCACGTTGTAAACAAGTGTTGTTCATATGGACTGTTGGAGTCATCCTTGTCGCAATGAATTAATGTTACGCAATATGGTATTTTTGAGTAGCAAGTAGGTATCACTATAACTTGCACAGTGCAATCCGTGCACGAGCGGGTTTTTCTGTAGCGTATGAAGAGGAAAGGAATGTGAAGTTGTCGAAGTGTTGCTTAGTCTGGTGACGTTTCATATTTTTACTTCTACAAGTGACGAAACAGTTTGAAAGAAGTTGAACGAGATAATTCCATTATCTAGTTAGACAGAGCGGTGGCAGGGCGAACTGTGTCAGATCTTATGATATGGTGTAACAAACAAAGCCCCAAAACGGCTGCGCTTTTTGGTAGACAACAACACCTAGAGTCATGAAGAAATGTCACCCGAGGACTCGAGTGCTTTTGTCGAACGGCTCAAATTGCGAACTGTAACCAGAGCCTTCACGAAAGTCATCGGGGAGACTTGCTAATGCGCCCCGGTGATCGGGTTCAAAATGAAGAAAGTGTTATCTATCTACCTAATGAATTCAGAAGTGTTGGCAAAACTGAGTATTGGTTTTGTAACCTGGTAGCTTGGATTGTTGACAAATGATGACCCTCTGAAGTATAAAAAAGTTTCAACCTTGTCAGGATACCGAAATGTTCCTTATTTTAGGTCAGTTGAGTTTTGATATCAGGTAAACAAACACCGACGACTTGTTGTACTACAAGCAGAGTTTTGGAAGTCACCACATCGCAACCGCTACGAACTGCCACAAATAAAATCACAGAATAAACATTATTCGCCTGGTTGTAGCTACATACATACAATCCTCAGGGACAGCAACATGATCACCACGATTTTTACAAGGGACAATAGACTGGATTGTGCAGAGGATATAATTCGGGGCATGTAAGACATCAATGGCGAGAAGAACTTAAGGAAGGTGTTGAGGAAAACAAACATATTCTTCAACTACAAACCGCCAGAATAAAACCAAAGAACCTTCGGCACATCGCACTTTTACAGAAATTTCGACCAAAATTAGAGTTTGGTCTCACGTGAAATGTTCTAAATTTAGCCTGAACTACTCACTTGGCATCAGGGTTTTTGAATTTCTTCAGTGGATTCGGAGGGTAGAACATCACTCGTAAACTGAGCACATCTTGTTTTAGGTCTACGTGAAGGAAGATCAGAAGGCAGGTGTACATTATTTCCTATCGAGGAACAAGTTTCGGTTGTGCCTATCATGAAAGGAGATCACACAGAGTAAACGGAAATAAGTATATTATAGGTGTAATACACTACTCATGAGGTTTCTGAAAACTCTTCGACAGGCCACGACTGACCTTGCCCTTCTAGGCGCTCATCAGGTAGGCGCAGTCCCCGAGCTTCTATCAACCATATGTTCTACTTGATTCCAACCTGAACAGATTTCGACAAATACACTCATTTGCAGATCAATATGGTTTTGAAGGGAGACTCACCTGAAACCCAGCCGAATCCTTCGTTTATGATGTTTTTAAGCAACTGGATGTGCTGCACCAGTTCGCTTCAAAATCAGATTGATATCCAAATGCGTGTATTTGTCGAAATAAGTATATTGTATTTCAGTAAACATCATTCAATAACAACGGGTAATATTTATTATATAAATACATATACATTATATATACACCAACCCAAAGCCGTCATCCTGTTGTGGTGGTCAGGCTTCTGTGCTGCAATGATCCTGCGGGCTATTTTGACTGGAAATCAGTCCCTGAAGTTTCAGTCATGCCAGGCAGGCAAACGGGGAACAGACCGACGAAGAACAGCGAGTCCCCATAATGCGGATAATCATGCTACAGGCGGTCTGGGGGTATAGTACTGTCCTCTGCGATATGGGTGAAAAGGCATTAAGGCTCTTCTCCCAGATGACCAGCATGTTAATATTTATGGAAGCAGCGATGCTGCCTTCTTCCAAGGAAGGAGGCCTTGGAAAATGTCGGCCTCCAAAACCGCACACTCTGATCGCCCAACGGTTGACCGTGACCGCCGGCGCATTACTCAGTGCCGTCGAAATACTTTTAAAACCACAGTCTGGTGCCGCTCAAAAAGCATTTGCTGTACGCAGCTGTACTAGAAGTGAAACAGCAATGCCTTACTCCCTGCGCTCTCGGGACAGGCCGCCCCCTGCAGCCAAGTGGGTCAGACTAATGAGTCATTGGCTCCGGGCAGCGTCCCCCAAATAAACCTCGAAAAATGATGTCTCGTAGTTCAGACACTTGAGTCAGAGGCTACGGACAGGGTTTCTGAACAAAACCTTACATCCTTTCACTGCATTATGGGTCAGAGTTTTGAGTCAAAGGCTCAAGGTGGGGTGCCTCGACTAAACCCGTTCTTCGGCCTTGGCGACCGGGAAGTATCATTTACTTTTGCAGCTCTTCGCTCACCAGCCTTATCCCACAATCCCTATCCACCCATGGTATGATGCAGTGCAGCCAACCCATCTGCCAATTTCCTATCCACTGTACCGTATGTCATTCATCGCCCACAAAAATAGACCAAAATAATTGCTTGCTAACCTCAAACAATCTTATCCGCGTTGCAGACTTTAATATCCGTATTCTAAGTCAATTTGGGCAAGAACCATCCCTTTCTGTAACCTTGCTTTCACTCTCCATCGATGTATGTTGTCTCGGAAACAGGCATACAATACGCCACTTCGGTCTTTAACCTCATGCCTCTCAGGATGAGCCCAGATGTTCCACATTTCACTCTTCGGGTATCTGGTGATCCTAACTCAATAGCTCGTGGTATCTACCGTTTTTTGGAACTTCTCTGCTTGCCTCCGAAACCTCGGAGGTCAAAATGCTCCCGGGACATTCCCTCACAGAGATTGAGTATGCAGATGATATTGATAAGATGATTTCTCGAATCCGAAAGGCCAGGACAGCTCTTGCCAACCTGGCAGCTCTGTCCTGAGTAGAAGCGACTGAGAGGTGGGCATTGTATGACCTGGTAACGAGGTATGAAAACACTAACCAGGAGAGTGGGTTGGTTGGACAACTGCCGCCACTCTAGATGGGGACGTCGGAACTCAACTCACCGAAGGCTGATGGCATCGTTAGAAATGGTCCGATCGCGCACTCAGTGGCGCTCATGCACCAAAGCTATCGTCTTCAATGCGTAGATATTCAGTTCCCGAACTAACCAAACCTGTCACCGCCTTCAACGCTTGGCTTTATGTTTCATACCCTCCCGTTTTCCCTGATCATATATATATATATATATATATATATATATATATCATCAGGGGCGTAATATTTAGTTTGCAGTCAGCTGACAAAAGACTTACCTTTAATCTGCTTCATAACTCGTCTTTCTGGATCCAACCATTGCTGAGAAGGAGATAAGCAAAATTGTCACATTGTGTTGTTAATCATCAGATCAAGCATGACCAACAGAGAAACTAGTAAATTGAACAAACGTTGCGGAAATAGTTATTTTCAACAGCTACCCTACTATCAACACAAGATGGGAAAAGACTCAATGTCCCGTTAACCAAAATTTGCGCATCGAATTCTGTCTGTAGTGTTACATACTACCTTCACAGTGACTTTGTGCGTTGCAATGTATGTTGGATGCGAAGCAGAGAAAAACTGGGACAAATGAATTTGGTCAGATGCGCACAATTCTGATGGAGACTGAGTTCCACAAAGCAAGCGAACTAACCTATGAAGATTTTCTCCGTAACATAAGCCAGCACTTGTCAAGTCGTAATATCACCTAGATAGTTATACACCAGGAAGAAAGTGAGCCAAAACATCACGGATGGACAAACAATAGCCGAGGTAGGTAAGTAGACCGAAACTACTGCTTCGGTACAATGGGGTCTTTTTCAGAGTTTTCGTCAAGGGCTAAACACATTCGAGCGCAGTGGGTGGAATTCAGCAAGTAAACTAACTGACCAAAGTATGTCCAAGTATGAAGCACGACAAAATACCCGTTTTACAAAGCGATTTCACACTGAATTTGGCAAAATACACCAATATTTACAACAGAATTTGACGTCCCTAAACCGGTTGGTGGGCCTCAATAGGCGAGCTTTTGATTGGATAAGGCTGTAGCCACACCGAGAACAATAAGCGATAAACGAACAAGAAGAGTGTTAATTGTACGATGGGGCTGTTCAACCACGAGCTGGGGTTACGAGTTCGAATCTCCCTGCAGAATCATGATATGCCGATGATTCTCAGTAAGGACAAATCGACTTCTGAGCGTAAACTGACTTTACTCATAGGAAGGAATCTCGATTTAAAACAATCGTAAATCTAGTCGATTAGTTCGGTAAGAATTCGCAAAGGTATTGAGATACCCCAGTATGCTTAGTATCTACTGGTGTGGATGCTAACATGATCGCCTTGTAGAGTTCAGATCACTAGCTCCCACAGGAAGTTCCTATGAAGTGGCTTTTACAAGAGCAACACTTCTCTTTGGTGTATATCCCTGTCAGTAGCAACAAAGTCTAAACCAGTCGTGGGCTGCCGAAGAGTCTTCAGCAACCTTGTGGGTAGTGGACAGCGTGAAAATATACTGTGATATCCCGGATATCGTACCAAGTGAAAATGGGGCGGCTTTTGTGCAGCATATTCAGTTGAAGGGTGATTCATTTGAGTAACCCGTTAAAACCAAGTTGATTTTCAAATGAGCGTACTCGTCGAAATCATTCCTATTTGGGTTCAAGTAAAACATGAGGTTGACGGAAACTCGGGGACTGCGTTTACCTGGCGAGCCCCAAGAAGGGTGAAACCGGTCGTGAAATGCCGAAGAATCTTCAGCAACCTTGTGTGTAGTTTCGTTTGTGGAAAAGTCTAAACATGTTAAAAGAGTAGATAGCTAACATTGTAACCACAGTACAGTCATTATTGACCATATCAGTTGCGATGACTTTTAGATCAGATCTTAACATTGCATTTCACACAGTCCCAATCAGCTTCTTGATACCGCTTTCAAAATGGTACTGAAACTCTGAACTGCATTTAGCTTGATCACCATTGTTTTCATCTCATTAAACGATGTGAACTGAGACGCTCTGAAACTCAGAATAGTTGGGGATGAGAGCGACAAAACGGATTACGGTGCCCGCGTCTTCAGTGGGCCCAGGACAACACAATACACATGGATACGGTTAACCAGACAATCAGAAAGCCGTATAGTGAAGTACTTGCATTTCAACCAAACCAAATCGCTTAGTCATCCGATTAGATTTGTTCTTCCTTATACTGGCACATACACACCGAACAGCTTGGTCTACTTGTTGGAGTCTGAACACGGCTGGTCCTGATGAAGTGAACTACGTACAAAGCATGCAGTGGTTTGTTTGGGCGCATTTAGAAGCGAGAATAAACCCACTTGCTCGCACATCAAAGATCAAGTACCTGAAGGCAATCAAGGAGCACGAAGCATCCAAATCACACGTGATTCCCAATGTAGACGACGGTGAGTTCAAATTAATGGCAGCGAGTTGATTTTCCGTTTGTTGAAGGATATTTGTGAGGTAACACGCCGATCCGCTTATTTCGGCCAATTACCAGATCAGCTTGGCTGCTAGGCGATAAAGGCCAAGTGCCTTTCAAGTTAAAATCCTCCAGTTGAAGACATACAAATTACTTCCACCAACGCGTCCTTCAGATCTAGCTACGTTGATCAACCTTCCACTAGCCCGCTTCTGAGGACGCTGCATTTCGAACTCTCCCAATGGACTATGCGTACGCTGTAATACTGTTCAACTTCAGGAGTATTTTCGATGACTGCTCACTGTATGGGGAAATTTTCTACTGGTCAGATATGCCACCCAATGCAGGAATGTCCGTGAATCCAAAATGATCGGGTGCATGTGTCTAAAAACTAAACTCATCCATCAGTCGGTGGGCCGAATCTTTGTGACAGAGAAATATGGGCGGTAGAAAAGCGCGGACTGAGACGGGCGAATTGAATATGAACAGGCAAAATATATCAGGAAAGATGCCATATTTTGTGGAGACTTCTTAGTATTCAGATGACTCGATCTTCGTGCACCTATCACTTTTTGGGTATGGCCTGCGTTTTGCGCTAATCAGAAAAAGGGTATTTACTACACGTTCTACAATGGGTCTATAATTGAACACTGACTGAGATGCAGCTAAATCTCATGCGGAAGTGCACGCCAATTGAGGTTGAAACGATTACCTGGAGCGCATGTTGGACCCAGTTTTATGCGCCCAAAGTACTACAATTGGAACATACGTTGTCTGGCACGTGAAAGTCGCTAGAAGCTGTCTTGTCAGGGCATCACGAATTAAAAACAGTTTTTCTTTTGACTCTTATTTTCCGTGGGCAACAAAATGCCGTCCTTACTATTACGCTTTAATGTAATTTCAAAAGCTACGCAACTCAGCGACTCGTGGAAGGCTTCATTTTGTACCAAGGTCATTCCAAAACAAACAAACGGTACAGCTGGTTACGTTATAATGATGCCTTTTTTGGTGGAGACAAACACGTGAGGGAGGCAGGTGGTGTGGCTTTATTTCCACCCAACTACGACCATTAGACCCAATCAGCTAAAATTGACCAGACATACTCTTATTTTCCGTGGGCAACAAAATACCGTCCTCACTATTACGCTTTTATGTAATTTCAAAAGCTACGCAACTCAGTGACTCGTTGAAGGCATCATTTTGTACCAAGGTCATTGCCACCAAAACAAACGGTACAGCTGGTTACGTTATAATGATGCCTTTTTTGGTGGAGACAAACACGTGAGGGAGGCAGGTGGTGTGGCTTTATTTCCACCCAACTACGACCATTAGACCCAATCAGCTAAAATTGACCAGACATGAAAAATCAGCCCACGTGTGGCAAACATCAGTAGGCCGACTCCGACAGGACATTTGTATTGCCAGATCGACTTTGAATAGTCTGTGTACAGTGAAAAAAAAACGTCTGGGACTGAACCTAGGATCACCAATCTAAATAAATTCAAGGACAGTGAATTAAATCAACTCTTTGTACGAACACTATCAGTTGGCGCAATCAAACAAGCTTTTAGCCAATTTAAGTTCATTCTCCAATCCTACACAGCAGTAATATTTTGACAATGCAAAAACAAAGTATTTGTCTGCGGTCAATCTGTCTAGTCGATTTGTTCCGATGGGACTGTACAACCGGGGAGGGGGTTTCAGACGGCGTACGTCAGTGCCATATATTATGGATAAATAGTGACCCATTACGGGTACCACAGTTGCGCAGCCGCTGGAATTCCGTTCAACCCAAGTAACGGAAAACTCACGGTCAATCTGCTAGATCCGGAGGGATCTGGGGAATTGGACTGTTTGATCTTCCAAACTGTGCCCAACAATGATGGTGATAGGCTTGGACAACAAGTCACTTTACAAAATATGCACAGCTTACTACATCAAAGACAACTAATGGTCCTACAGTTTTTTTAAAATGTTTCAGATGATAAGAAGTATTGATTGCACACAGTTACTGCATTGCATAAATCTTTCTGGGGCCATTTATCATTCAATTGTGTCTTGCTAGAGTCTGTTTCTGGAGCAACCTCAATAGCCTGAAAAGAAGTACCGAAACAAAGATGGTTCAGCCTAATCTCTTGGACACAGTGAGATGAACAGTGGATGATTACACACCCATACCTATAAGAGCACAAAAGGTACACGTTTTGAGTGCACACGCCGTCCAGAGGGGAGCGTTTAAAACGAAGTTTCGCTCAAATTTACTTTTGAGCCTTTTTGAATACCTTTCAAGGGATTCAGCGAAATTCATATTGACAAGAATTTCTATTTTTATTTCTACTTCACTACGCTAACGAAGGAGGTTCTTCCACTGAAGCTAGAATTCATCCCGTTTGAAAATGATTAATAACGGTGATGAGTTAACTTTGTTAGATACACTCGTTTTCATATGAAAAAAGTTATGAACAGTCTAAGACCAGAAGACTACCAAATGTGGTACTTTGATTTCATTTACTTCGAACTTGAATGGTTGATATAAAAAACCAGCTACATGAACCATCTCACGGTTCTTTGCTAGATTATTCTGTATTTGGTGAGGCGGAATTTTCCTTGCTATCTGCAGTTCCCCATAAGCGGCAAAACAGTGAACCCTGATAGATTTTTTTCGCGTTCAGTCATCGATGGTTTAGTTCCCTACAGGATTCTCGTTCCAACGGAGACATGAGCAAGTACCACGTGAAATTTTCATAAAATTGAACATGCACACCTGCCGAAAGAAGATAGATCAACGGCTTCGAATCAACGTCACAAAGTTACTGCTGCTGGATACCCTACAAAGGCCCCAGACAGATGTTACTGACAACCCGATATTACTCACTTCCGCATATGTCGTTTAAGCTTGCTTTACAGCTCGTAGGAATTAGAGTTTCTGGAATAACTAACGGAGTCAGATGCCATGGACCTCTGAAGGATTCCTCCAACAGCAGGACATATGCCATGGAGTTCCACTTGATTCGTCGTACAATCAGGCATGCCTAAAAGTCAAAAGTTAACTTTTAAAAGTCTGACTATTGAGAGTTGGGATAGAGTGCATGGGTTAAACAGTTGTGCATGCGCAGGCGGTTCTAATTAAAGTCGGCTTTTCATCAGCTCGTTTAGCGCGGTCATTCAACGCTCGTTACCAACTGTTCCCGTCAAATTGATCGCTAGGAAAGAACCTGAGTCTCGACTAAACCCTTCATCGACTTGTATTCTGTGGACAAAATCCATCAAACGCACTTCATGGTTTGCTCTTCTCAATCCATCTAGCCAAGATAGCGTTTGCAAGACAATTTTCCGCACTGAGGACAAACGAATGTCACCAGAATTGACCAAAATCACGAAAACTACGTTGAACGGTATGGCAACGCATGATTTCTAGAAGATTTCGACGTGCGAAATTACTTCGTCATCTTGGTCGAGGTCTTTCGTCATCCAGACGTTAAAAAATGTACCGCCGCAGTAACTGTTCAGCCAGCAATGGACCAGCAACACTCTTTGCAATTGCTTCGGAAATTTGAATGGTGTCTGTAATTTATAAACATTCGTCCTTTTGCGAAACGAAAATCCACGAATAACAAGCCAGCTCCTGCATTGGGCATACTGACCCAATCGTCAGTCAACCCCCCCCCCCAAGCACCAGACAATTACCATGCTCCCTGATACCAACGTTACTTTTGGTTCAACGGATCGGACGACGCTTATGGAAGGGCGGTTGGCAACCAGCCAAGTCACTCAACAGTCCTCTTGACTGTCTCAGCATCCAACTAGATGCGACACTAGGAGGGGGGGGGGCGCAGACAACCAATCGTTCGTGTCCCTACGTTTTGCAGTTCACTAACCAATCTTCGCAGCGTACTTCATTTTTCGCTTTTATTTTAACCATTAGATATGCACTGACCTGATGACGAGATCCCGAAAACATTACTGTTCGTCGCTGTGTTATTTTTCAAACCATGGAGATATTTGCAAACATCCTCAGGTGATTGCATGACAAAACCTATGCCTGAAGAAGAGCCCACACATGCTTAACTTGTTTCTCAGTATCTACCAAAGTGAACCATCCCCCCGTTTCTGTTCGGTTAACCATGTGCTCAAAATTCCTGTCACTGGTGTCAACAAATATGGCATCGACCTACTTTCGGGGAACGGCAGCCACGAACTAGACGACGCAGATGACATTGTTCCACCAGGAAGCCACCAGGTTGTCGACTGAGCTCATTCGACACAAAGCGTTCTCGCTATCATGGTGAAGAAGATTGGCCAAACTATGGACTTGCGTTAACCCCAAAAATGCCGCATTTGTGTTGAATGTGTTGGACGGTCGCATGGCACTTTTCATAGATGTCATGGGTGGCTTGCTCCAGTCAACAGCCTCCGACGACTGTCAGCGTTCGACCATCGCTGTTCATGGAGTATCTCTCGCTTTTCGATAGCGGCTGCATGCAAGCAACATCGAGGAAGTTCTACTCATCTTGCATAACTATTGCAAGACGGACTTACCAAAAGTTAATTCTGAACGGCAATTCAGTTGACTTGGAGACGCTTTATGAAATTTGCCCTACCAGCTCTGTGGACATGGTATGACGGCGCTGAGGGTAAATACTTCCATACACAGGGGCCAGTTCACAAAAATAGGCATTTCGGTCACTTAGCAGTGTATGTATAGAAAACCTCGTGGTGCGTTATACAAGTGTAGATCAAGTGGCCCTTTATCTGTTGCCGAGATTTGCAGTCTTTTTGCAATTGGTTGTTGACCTGTTCCCCGAGCTTGGAGATCCGCTTACACCCAATCTACAACCAAACTGGGGGCACATTTCGGGCATTTTATTCTAAAATTTCAGCTAACGAAGTTTTATTTGTATTCTTATTTAAGTCTTAAGTGGTTAGAGCGCGAATTTATTGACCGGAAGGTCTGTGGTTCGCATTCGACCTCTGCCTCTCGAATTCCCTTGTCTAGTTTGGGCAAGCTGGCAGTATTTCAGCCCTCGTGCTTCCTTCGGGTAGCATGGCAGCTGGGCACTATAAGGGTGTTACAGTTGAGCGATTTTTAAAATATCTTCTTGGTCTAAATTCTCATTCGGATGAGGTTTTATTGCACGCCAATGAACTGTCACACAGAAGAAAAGGAGCTTCTTCACGTTTATTATTATTTAAATCCAACTCATTTGGAAAGAAATCAAAGTTCACTTATTCAACAAGGATGGACGACGCGAGAATGAAATTTAGCTATCACACAAATACAACGTGAACAAAATGTTGCTGAACTAATGACCTCCACAACTCCAGAAAGGCTTGGTAAATTTCTGGGTAATCTTTCGCTCTTAACACGGTTTGCTTTCGCTCAATACCAACACAGAGAGTTGCCTAATGAAATAAACTCATTATTGAGTTGTACTGAGTCAATCAGATCAAGCGTATAAAAAATTTGTGGAAACTGTTAATTACGTGACGTAATTCTTTGTTTTCCTATTCCTCAGGCTAATTCATCACCCTTCCGGTGACTGCTCAAGTTTCAAGACTGAATTGTTCTATGTTACACAAAGTCGACTCTGCCTCAACCGTTTTTCTGTAGATGATTTGTTCACATTCATTTCTGGGTTTGTCTCACTTTGAACTGAACAACATTTTTCCCGTTAAACTTGTCCGAAAGCACACTGCCCTTCGTGTGCCATCCTGTGTTGCTAACTGCCCAAGGTCTAATCTAGCTGTAAGCTTTTCCTTAGTTCTCCTCAAGATTTACGGTTAATTTCCTCACGATTTACTGTTAATTTCCTATAGAACCACGGTCTACCTATCTATACTGTCTGCCAACGTTCAATTCAATATATTGTTTACTGATCAATTGCGACTGCTGGAGAAACGCAGGTGAAGTTCGTCGAATTCGGTTTCGCCGCAATTATTACTGACCGTCCGTTATTAAATAAGACTACAGGTTACCTGTCAGATGGGGCAACTAGATCATGCGTTTAGTCTAAGTAACCAATTCCTTGCTTTGAGATCACGGCCTTAGCACAGGATCGTACAGGAACCAAATTCTCGGCGACTGGGTTCTCTAACGAATGTTCCTATTCGAATGGAAAGTAAGTTTGTTAATTCAGATGAACTGAATGCTGCCAATTCCTTCATGGAGAGCAACATAATCATTTTAGTCAACGGCTTAATTGTAATAGAATTCCGAACGAGATATTGAAGAGCTGAGGTAACCAGATCAGTTAATCTAAATCGAGGAATTGTTCGTTTGACTGTAGCTCAGCTGCTAAGTTGAGGCACAAGGGCTGAGATACGGACAGGTTGCCGAACTATTGACAATCGAGATGTTGGCGTTGGGTTAGAATCACGGAGTTTCCGGTCGGCAATCTCGCGTCCTGAAAACCGAGCTATCTCGAGCTCAGGTCACCTGCACTGTAACCTTTCAATGAGGCTTGGCAGCACCAATTAAATGGTTGTCCGGTTGTCAGATCTCAAATTACGCTCGGTTAAGTAGAAAAACTAACCTTACGTATTCTTCCACATGGGGGCCTGCATGAAAGCTGACCTATTGATGTATACGTGCCATGTAGCCGAAAGCAAGAGCACCCAAGGAGTGGATGGCATAAAAGCAGGAACTTACTGAGCTTATACCTTGACCTTTTTAAATATCTAGAAGTACAAGTTCACACAGCCCTACCACAGTCGCGGGACCAATCAGAGCTCCATGAGGATGGGGCAACCGCAAAAGCAACAGAGGGGAATCGTAAATAAAGATGAGAGAAGCAAACTGGTTGAGTAACAACAAGCATTTCATAAAACTTGACAGACCACAACTTTTCGACAGCACACGACCGGCTCCATCCTTCTTGGGGATCATCAGGTAGGTGCAGAGCTAGAGTTTCCGTCAGCTTTATGTTGTTCTTGAACCTAAACTAGACGGGATTCGTCAGATACTCTCATTTGCATACGAATTTAGTTTTGACGGGATACTCAACTCAATTCAGCTAAATTTCTCTTTTAGGATTATCTTCTTCAACCGGGTTCAAGTAGAACAAAAGGTTGACAGAAATTCGGGGACTGTGTTTATCTGGTCAGTCCCAAGAAGGGTGAAATTGGTCATAAGCAGTGGAAGAGTTTTCGGCAACCTTGTGAGTAGCTTACTTTATTAAAAAATATACTGCGATATTTCGAATATCGTACCAACTGAAACATATAACGGCCCTTTTGCAGCATATTCTGTTGCAAAGGAACAACACAAAAGGGAGATTCAGCTGAGATTCGGGGGAGTCACCGTTAAAGAGCAAACTGCTGTGCGAATGAATGTAGCTGGCAAAAATATTCATAATTTTACAAAGCTTTCTTGTGCAGAACTACATAGTTTTCATAGGAATTGAGTAAAAAACAGGTCAAAAATATATCTTACACGCTTGACACTTTATTACTCGGTTGCTTATCAAACGGTGAAAATGCGCACTCGTGTCGTGATGAAAAGGCAAAAACACTGCTAAGCTCACGTTTGAAGAGTTCTACAAAAAGAGTCATGGTGGAACGGGTCGTGTTTGCATGGCTTGGGTTATAAGCACGATTTCAGAGAGCAAAACACTGGAAACTCACTGGCAAAGAGTTGTTATCCACATAGCGTATTCCAAAGTAGGCTACTGACTCTGCCGCATTAAGATAGGAGCAAACCTCACGTAGCAGTTCTTTTCCAAGAGTTTTGGTCTGGTAGAAGAGAATAGAGGACTCAAACTTACAAACGTTACCAGTTTGAACGTAAACAACAATCCTAATTCAAATATGTGATCATTTGATGGCCACAATCATTCATCTACCCAACCATCATGCATACGAACGACTAAATAATGCGGTTTACACCCGCTGGCAGCCAGTAAATTATTCCTTAGAAGAAAAATAGTGCCACTGACTTCCATCGGGTGCCACAAGTCTAAAAACATCAACATCAACGTATCTTGTATATGAGACCAGTGAGAGATTCGGTAAAACAACTTCCATCGTAAAGCTGAAAGGTAAGCCAGTTTCTCAGGTCATCTTCACGTTAACAATAACTGATACGTACCTATCATAAAAATTGATCGCAGCTGTGTATAAGAGAAACAACACAGCTCACAACTGGAACTTCAAATTGCATGAAAGGGTCGACATGTGCTCTGTCTGATCACGTGGGGTCACGTGAAACTGAAAGTTTGGTGAACGGCACAAGCGTGCTCATCCGTGATCAGATGGCACAATCTAAACACGGTTACTGTGTGAATCAACATGAGTTTTGGCAGGACCTAGCCAGCGCAGCTACATTATAAGTTTGCGTCATGGTACATTGTTTTCAAGGACTGCATTACTTAGCACCGGGAACATTCGTGAATCAATTACTTCTCATCACCTGAGTAAGGTCTTCTGAGTCCAAGTCATTCGATGTTTCTCACATCGCCAACTATCGCGTGGAAACACCAAACCAGAACACTCAAGTACGTGAGGAGTTCAAGATGTGCAGTTCCGAACAAAATAAACCATAGAATTCTCAAGTTATATGCAGGCTAAACAATTTTGCATTAGAGAGGTCGACAAACTGCAGCTGAGTCGACCTCAACTTGAGGACCGAACATAAAATGCTCTCCACAGTAAACCTCGAGTACTGTGAGATTACATCCAGGATCTTTGACCTTCAAATGTCTTGGAGGCCAATAGTAAAAGCCCAACCGGAGTTCAGCGACCTATCTTCTCGCAATTTCCAGAACTCAGAGGGTTTCACACACTGTGTAATTCATTACTGTGTTATTCAACATATACCTTCCACTAGTCAGCGGCGCTTTCACACTATTAGCAGAGCCTGACTACGCACTAACAATGAGACTGAGATGTACACAGGCTGGCGTAGAGAGATTCAATACTGCGTCAAGCTGCAGGGGTAATGTTGTCATTTATTAGTGCGTGTGACTGAGAATCCTCATCATTGAAAAAAGGCACTGGAAGTAAAGAAAGTAATGGCGCTTTGACGGGCCACTAATAACATGCGGCACTAACCTATCCTTTTGCGATAGCATTCGAAACATACAGAATACGTACGTAGGCACATAGACTTCCAGTAATCCAGAATAGACAATGGTCTTGCAAACAGTGAATAACCTAAGTACCACTTGGCGATAGATACAACGACAACTCCTAAGAAAACCAATCTGCCCAATAAAAATCACTGTCACGAGGTTCCTTGATTCCCGGGCTAATGAAAGGTCGTGGCCGGATACCATACAACATGTTCCAAAAGGCTGAATACGGGGAAGAAACACAGATACGGTGGCTTTTCGTTTATCCAGGGACGAATTAGGTTTCCTCTTCAATTTGCACAGTTCGGACCAACGATACCCAAAGTGCGGAGCAAGCTAGTCGCTTGTCCTAAGCAGTTCTGTGGAACTGTCCACTTTACCACACCATCAGAGCAGTTGGCAACTGTACCACAGCTGTTGTGTGACAACAGAGTGAGGCAACTGGCACTTTAAACATAGACCGTAGGGGATTAGTATGCGACACACGAACGCCAAAGCTATGTTCCAATAACCTCTCCGAGGCAGTCAAGAATGGCTATACGTTGGTCACCTTTTATGTTCGCACGTAGATTCAAGTACAAGGAAAACTAGGGAAAATCAATGTCATTAGGAAATTCGGGCCGCATGATCACAGAATCATCATCAGAATAGTCACACCAGACGCCTATCTACCACAGCTTGCGAACTGAAGCTCTGGATGTCCTGGAAAAGTAGTGGAGCGATTTGTTTGTTTAATTGAGGCTGATTTACATGGGGCGCACGCAGAGTTCGGTGCGTTGGTTTATTTCGTCAGATGAATTCGTGCACGTGATGATCACTACGCTGTCAGTTAGTACGTAGTTGAAGATCCCGAAGCCTCTCACAACGGATACCCCAAGGCAAAATGAAGTGTGGGTTTCCTCTGATCAACAGACCAACAAGAATGGGACGCACTTTTAGCAGGCTGTCTAAAGAAGTTCCACGAACCAGTTTAGGAACCTGGCCAATTTGTATGTTATACGGAAAGTGAGTCAATGATTATTGAATACGTCTGTGTATTCTTGGAAAACCTAAAAAGCGTGAAGAACAGTTGCTCCTTGGATTCAAGTCGTGCCATGTCATCCAAAAACATATATCTGTTTGAGGTTTGATCTTATTAAGAATGGTGTCCGATTCACCGCTGCTTGTGGGTCTTTATCTTTCATTGTTTTGGTTAACCCTCTGTCCTGAGTCATCTGCTTGAAATAAAATTGAAAAGTCCCCTTCACCAGCCTCGGATGTGCTTATGGTAGCGTCGACCTCCAGGTACCTAAGTGCATGATGCTCTGCGGGACTGAGACCCAAGAGGTGTGGTCGTTGCCTTCGAATTATGCCGGCGATTCTGGGTAAAGTTACGTTCGACATTTCAGTGGCAAACTGCTCAGCACGTGTTCGATGTTTGGTGTGATATCCTACGGCATCCACGGTGTTAATCGAACAGTGAAGTTCAGCCCTTCCTACAAAAGCATGATTTCATTTTAATCCAAGGTCCTACACGAAAATTCGACAGCGATGTTCTCTGATCTAACCCGAGTTTTGGAAAATTATCGAAGAAGGCGGGTGGTGACTGTACATGCAACCTATGGAAATCCCCTTTGTGGGTATGGATGGGTCCCGATAGTGAATAAGCTCAGTGAAGGGTGAATATGTATTTTAGTAGCAGAACTCCAATCAACAGATTCGTAACATGGTGAATTTCATTCGTATTCAATTCTACGCGTGCGCAAATCACTATTACCAGTCAACGACAGGGATTGTTGGCCCTTCGAGCTCGCAACTAAATCATATCGTGACTAAGTAGTGGTTTTAATCAGTTTACTACTGATGAAAAACGTCGCACGGCGGAAACACTGATCAACTAGTTAACTAGTCATTTGGAATTATGCAAAATTTCCTGCAGGATGTTCTTTGTGCAATTTTACATAATACAAAAACTTACAGTGAATTCCATTGTAATGAATCTGTCATCCAGTAAGTGTATCCGTCGTTTTATGGCGTTGATACATTCGCTGCTTCCGAAAAATCGGAAGCTGGATAAACTGCTAATTGAGCCTCTAGACGGGGGCTTCAAAGCGTTCACGTGACTGTCTGCTGAACATCGACGGCCCTGATCATTTGACATGCTAGTGTAGTTTTGAAACGCCGGCTTGAGTACTACAGTAAGGAAAAGAAAAGAAAAATTCCGAAACGTCAAGAAGTAATGTCCTGGGGCACATCAAACAATGAATTACAGACCCTCGTTTTGGTTCGTATTCGCATGGTAAAACTCAGCATCCACAATCCATTGATCCTATCCAGTACATCCAGAATATTGAAACTACATGCAGTCTGCTCGTACTCAAATAATCGCGGTAAATCCTCACTGAGTGGTAGGCAGACTGTGTTACTTGAAACGATGTTCACGTCACACAAGCGTGTTTCGTCAGACTAGATACAATCAATAACAGTGCAGATATCACCACTCATGTGACAAACATACCCCCCCGGATTTGTGGCCATCCTGTTCTTAGTGAACATGTGCTCGACAGCCAAGCACACAATGTAATAACTAAATCTATGACATACTTTAGGCCCTCGATGCATATATCAGATTCGGGTGTCTTTAAGCGGCTTGCTGACAAAAATAATTGTCATCATGGTATATACAAGCCTTTGATGGTGCTCGGTACCAAGTATGTGTCTCATTATTACTATTACCATTACTATATTACACGCAGTCCTGAATAACAGTGGAAATTCCCGAATTCCACAATTCGGGGTTCCTTCAAGGTGTTGCTCATTTAATCACATGCACTCATGACAGACTCAGTTAACCCTGAGTGCCATATGAGTTCATATCGGTTTGACAGTCGGGAACCGTACGTATGTACAGTGGTAGGGGTCGTTGTAGCTAAGTTGCTGTAGCAACTGTAGCTAGGTTAATGAGTAAGAACAGATGCATAGACAAAATACCAACACTGGTTACTTGACATTGTCTTGTCGGTGAGTAACCCAAACCACCGGTATCCAAACCTCTTAGACGATATGCATATGAGCAATAAAGACTATTTTCTATGTTTTTCATGCTTTGTCTCCAGGTAGTGCGGTGTTCACTTTGTGGTATCTTCCAGTCTGAACCTGGCCCAGCAAACAGGTAATACCAAGGCAAACATTCGCTCAACATACGAAAGTACGTGATCACGGCCATTGTAATTATTGCGGACGAACCAGCTAGGGAAGTAGTCAACCAGTTGACAAAAAAAAGCACTCGTCACACTCAATCGCGGATTATTTGATGTCCCCATGATGTATATACAGTGCTTAGGAGGTACTAATGGGAAAACCAAGCTATCTGTTCCTTTTTTAAGCGTACAGCGGTTAGTCTTTGCAACCATAAGGCAACACCGGACGCGTCATAGATTTTACCTGTCACCGACAGGTTAATGTCACGTCGACCTAAAGGATATCCAGGTTGAAGGAAAGCAGGACGGGCTTTAGCGATTCTAGCATCCAGGTCATCAGCAATGCTGTCATCCGACGTGAAGCGATCACATAGCTTGGCATATCTGTCCACTATCTTCAGTGGCTCTTATGTCACGACCAAGTTTGCTGGTCCACTCGCATACTCATGTAGTAGCGCCTTTCACTTTGGAGATGAAAAAGCGTGTCCACAGTATTTTGATTTTCACTGTGTTTTGTTTCTGGATGGAATTTGGATCGTGTGTCGCGACATCACCAACAACTCCTTGTCTTTAGGGTCGCTCCCGGGAGGAAAGCTCCATGCCAGAGGCAGATAGCACTGAGGACGTTTCTTCGATAATTAACTTGATTGCAAAAATGAAGACGATAGGCGAGAAAAAGCAAACAGCGCGAACACAAATTTCTTGACTTCACCTTCTGTTGGTGCTTAGAAGTTGATGTTTCACTGCGCTCGTTATGCTGGGTACCTCGAACCAGCTTCTTTCTCCTCAAAATATTTCACCCAACAAATCAATTGTCCAAACTTAGTACGAACTTATGTACCGTCTTTTACCGTACTAATTTCATTGAGCGGAGACTTTCTTGGTTAAGTGAATAAGCTGGAAAAGAGTTTGACTACTTCCAAACACCGCCGCCCTTCCCATTTTCTGGAATTTCCTTAACCGCCACTACACCTGGCCAGTTTTCAGACTACAAGTTTAGAATCATTTCGGGGATCTCACTGAATCATACTGTCGTTCAAGCCACGACTGGGGCATGAACCGTAGTGAGTTCCAGCTTGTAATGGGCCGTGGCCTCCTTTTCGGACACGCACAATCAAACGTCAAATTCGTTGTGTTTCAGGTTTCCAACCAGTCTTCATTTTTCCAACCGCTCTTCTTCATGTTCGTAATTTGTCCAGACAGCTGTTGCTAATAGGCTACTCTGGCGACCGAATTTCACAGGCGGTGGATATCATTGCAATGGATGATTTTTTTTTCATTGGTGGCTGGCAAACAGCCTTGGAAATGAACCGCGGCCCAATCTGACTCCGTACACATATTCGAAAAGAAACACAAAATCGGTATCTGTAGCCAATTGTTATATGGTCAGTCAGAGTGCTTGATTGGTCACAGTTTGAATGGCGCCAGTCACTGCAACGCTCTAGTTTGTGTTCCCAATATCCTGATGGTGATCAGCGTAGAGTTGTAAGAAAGGGTTGTCCTTGTCAGTTCTGGGGACTTCCAAACTAAATCTCCCGCCAAGACAATTCTCATACATACGGATTTTTCTTAACCGAGCAGATTACTGATATCTGGGTACTTGGCCATTCACATAAGATACGAAAGTTTTATCATTAAAAGTGCCTTTGACGGTGTTCGAGCGGATTCTAGCAGATCCAGCCAGTCTAACTGAACACAGTTGTTCATGGGAATGCCACCAGAGGGAGCGTCTACAGATCAACCCAATGCCCACACCATTATGACAGCGGGGAGACGCTTCGGGATCACCTGACACCCGGATAGTAAACCACGAACGACATGGGCTGCGTTGGGCCGTGTTCAGATGTATTACCATGCTAGAGTTATTCAGACACATTCCGGAGATACAGCACAGAGAGAAGAGTATGAGCAAGGGAGATCTGTTGACCAATTCGACAACGAGTACGGTCATGAAATGCCTCCATTCCGAACGGATTTGCTAATGATAGTAGTGTATGGTTGTGTTTTGTTTTTCTGTATGGAAGGCCAAGAATCGACGTTCAATCTCTAGAGGTGGAAAATTAAGAAGATAAGCCGTCACTCCTAAGCTGCCTAACCAGATGTCAATTCCCTGTTGTCCAGACTGGGGAAATCTTTTTGATTTATCTCATCCCACTTTGAACCTCGGCTCAAAAGTCTGAATCATTATGTAGTTGAAAAAGGAGAGGTTCTGTTCTGGGACCCTGCTTATAGCCCCTAATTCAGCAATTTCACCCGCAAGGCAATAGGCGTGAAGCTTTTGAAGGGAACCTTCGCAGAACCAATGACTCAACAGTCTGGCTCATTTGGATTTGCGAGGATTATCTAGCCCGAACGCATATGGAGCAAGACATTAATGTCTGACTTATGGTGCTACTGCGAAAAGCACGAGTCTTGAACAGCGTCAAACTTCGTTTTGAAAACTATTTCAACAGCAGTGAATAGTACATCAGAGGTCATTTGGGTGATCGGAAAGTGCGGCTTTTAGCGGCGAACTTTTTTACTCTGTCGTTCTTCCAGGGGAAGGCTTCCATAGATGTGGACATGCTAGTGGCCTAGAGGAAACAGCTAACCGTCTTCGGAGTGCTTTCACGGAGAATAGTACAACTTTATCCCAAGAACGCCTCTTAGTACGATCACTTGTAGCATGAGAGCTTGATGCTGTTTTTCTGATGGCACCCCGTTGGCTTTCCGGGCATAGGTGAACCAGTTTATCCCGATGGATCAGTGCAACATTCAAGCCGGATTGCACGCAGTTAGTGAGGTGACAGACTGAATAAAAAGCAGACAATCGTAAACTCCGAGTCGTCCGACAATAAAGACCAACAAGCAGCTAGAAAGAATGAGGCCCACAACTCCTCGCTTTCTTCTTCTCAATGCAACGCAGAAAAGCAAGGGCCAAAAGATGCCAAAAATTCTCTGCTTCACTAAATGAATCGCACATGCAATAAATGAAGAAGCAATGAAAAGTGTAACAATGCGCTTTTAGGAGGCAGCACGAGAAATTCAACGCTTTTCTGAAGTTCTTACCACGTCAGAATCAAGGCCGACAAATGAGTGAGGCATATTGCACCCAGAGGTGGAGAGCATACAGCATGAATACTCACATAAACCACAGAGCAGACACGCAAACATCAACCACAGCAAAGTGAACAGCGCATTTCTCCATCTCAAGAGGAGATCGGTACTTCAAATATTCGCTTTTGGAATAAAAAAACAGCTAGAAGGGATATGCTCGTCGCGAACTTTCTACGGAAAGCTGCCTGATATCATCGAACCCAGTTATTTAAATCTATTCAAAAACTTGAACACAAAGAGGATTTCGACCGGGCTGGTGAAGAAGCTGTGATTGTGTCTCTCAATATGGAAAGATAAACCAAGTGGGTACACGATAAATACAGTGACATCCACCTGTCTAGCTGTAGAGTTACGATGTTGGCATGAGACCAAGAAGACTGGCTGAGTCTTCAAAAGACAAGGTCTTAGATTAAACAAAATGTGCTGCATGAGACGTAGCACAATTGTATTGATTTTAACTCCAGAACTTCATTGAACAATGGGTCCTATAGCTCCGATCGTCATTGTGGAAGCAGGTGGCTTTTTTCACTGGACTGTGGATCATGGTGACTGCTTTAGCAGAGACAAAGAAGAGTACGCATCTGATCCATAATGCCACCTCTAGCGACGCGAATCATGTTATTCAGGAAATCCTGTTGAGGTTAAGCCTGCACACTCAATGTCCAACACAGATCCACACTTTATAACGATACGGACGTACACGCTGTTGAGAGTGCACATCAGCAATATATAGATTTGGCATTTGTTTGTGGCCTCACAGAGTAGGCGTCATCACCTCACTCAGCGAACTCATGCTTCTTGTTTCGTTTCGTCTAGGGCAGTACCCTGGTAAACGTGCTCAAGTTATGAGTAGTACTGTAGTACTGTTGAGCCGTGTACATTTGCTGGGATGATTGCAACGCCATGTCCTGATTTTTTATCCCACTAGCTTTCTCACCCTCGTGCGAGTGTACTGCGAATACCGTGCTCGGAAAGAAATCACTTGTAACTCTTCCCAGTGGGTTGTTTTACAGTGATGAGAACCAACTGATGGGCGATAGTAAAAGCAGTTGAATTTAAAATGATATCAGTGGCTGATCATTCGATTATAACGGAAATGTTGACATAAAGTGACCAGATAAGTAGCTTCTGACAAAGCAGGCCTCGCATGAAGATCAAGTTTGCCGTAAGTTATGCACGACCTGAAGGTCACCCGCAAACGCATTGTGTGGATAGCTGATAGTCTTTCTGACTTAGTAATTCAAAAGATTTAGTGAAGCATCCGAATAATAGCAATGATGTTCCATACCCCGAAACTTCAGTTTTTATATGGGTCGCGCCGTACGAGTCAGTCGCGATCAGTAAAGTCGATCTCTGGACTTGCTGTATAAAGTCCACCATTCTCTTTATAAATTAGTAAATTACGACGCCCATCTGCCAAAATCTTCTGCGTACTAGGCTCGGTGACTAATTTCGAGAGCAAGTTCTCGAATTCCACTATTTAACTGAGCATAAATGATAGATCGTCGCCTCTTTTAACTCATTTACATATCAATTTGGTCTTCACGAGAGACTCAGTTGAATCCCTCGTTTATGCTATTCTTCTTACTCTTCTTTGGTAAGAATGCTCGCGCTAACGGGAGATTCCATATCAGCTACCCGCAAGGCGCATTTTGTGCTCTACGAAATCCACAACTTGGCAGAATGATGTGTTCCGAGAACATGAAAGGAGAAGTTTGGGTAGCACGTAACAAAGGTTATCAAAATCATATCGACTGGGAGCGCGCTACGATGATAACTATATGTGTCCATTCCCAAAAAGGTAAAATATTCGCCCTCACTCAGTACTCAGTACTGTAGTAATTCAGTATGAGAATACATTACAATATCTACGAAGCACCGACACGTAATATGATAGTCCCCACCTAAACCCCGAAAAAAGGCTAGAAGGGCCGATTGTTTTCTACGACACAAAAACCAGCTGTCTTATTCCACTTCCTCACACAGTCTAAGAATCAAATCTATATGGCGTTCGCTTTACACCGCATACGAGAAACGATCATACCAACCTTGCCGAATGCTTCCGGTCGATACAGAAAGGTGAAAGGACCGGCAACATAAATCAACGTTTCAACAGAGTAGTCAGTAATGTCGCTGAAACAGAAGCACAGGAAACGAGGCATACGTAACTAATTTAAGAAATCAGATCAATATTTCGCGGTTAGTGCACTCATAGTCCAGTTCATCACTCAAATAAGTTGGAGAGAAAATGTGCAGACAAATACCTTAGCCAGTTGATTATGTGTTTTTTTACCCCGGAAAAATTCGGCCTAAATAACGCCTGACATCTCGCCCTTAGCACTACTTGTCATGTAATTCCTCTACGTGGTATGGGTCAACCCGAAGTCCGCTAATAAACCTAACGAGGTCACTCATTAACTAGATGTGCAAAGGTTTTTCCGAATATTTTTCGGAATTTTATCTGGTTTACTCGGTACTTCCTTTTTTCGAGAAAAATCAATTTGCCACGACCTGCAAATAAATTATGACTATCTCTGGAGGTTCAGCTGACTGAGAGCGGCTCATCGTCAATTTGAAATTTCGAATGATACATAAAATAATCGGCAAGGTTGGTAGAAACTTTGCACTTAGTGATGACTTAAACTTTATTAAAATTGAGGTGGTTAGAACGCAAATTTACTCATGGAAGGTCCGTGGTTCGAACCTGTCCTATTCATCTCAGCTTCTCCTGTTTAACATTGAGTAATCTGGCAGTATCCCAACCCTTGTGTTTCATTTGGGTGACATGGAAGCCAGGCACCGAAAGGGTATTAGAGTTAAATGATGGGACTGAGGTCTAAATCAGGGTCAGAAAAAATGGTTCCACGATCAATGATTACCACTTGCTTAAGTCTTTTTCTTATCTAACTTCCTACAGTATCCTGTCACGTAATCTTGAGTGGGTGCCTGGCTTCTGATGGAACTGCAGCTAAAAATGAGCTGGAACCAACGGCTTTCTGTCCAGCAGAATGTTCTCTCAGAACCAAACAGTCATGTCATTCACAGGTCGTCTAATGTTTCCCAGTATTGAGTAAACTTCTAGAGGAGCGGCTATAATAGTCCGGCAAAGTTCCTCCATGATTATTTCCAACTTAGCGAGGCTAAATCCGCCAGCCGAGGTGTCGGAAATTCCTGCATTTGAAGACCTAGTTTGTCGAACTTTAAAAAAACTAGCAATATAGAGGGCTAGTGCATTTGTTCCATTATATACAAGCCAAGTTACCCTTGCGTACCAAATGGTAGCCATAATAAGGCGTCATTTCAAAGCAAGAGCATTTCACCCGACAACTATCTTAGAGACGGCAAACGAGTTCTGGAGTTGATTACCCATAATAAGTCATATCCAAACGATTCAGTTAGAGTGAACCGCCACCTCTCTACTAGCAACAGCTGGGGCGGATCACTTCTAAAGTTGTACAACAAACGTAAGGGTAATATTATTATCCCTTTAGTTTCATACAGAAGCATCATGCTGCAATCACTTAATAACCTGTCTTACTGATAAGTTCCGTCAGCATCTAGATAGAATCTGGCTAGCAAAAGCATTCGGCTTCCTTTGAGAGCCCGCGTTTGTCCTTCCTCTAAAGAATCTGTCTAGGCTGAAACGTTTGAGACCACACACCTATAGCTTACACCCAACTAGCACTAACGCATGTCCAACCACCGTTTACCCATAATAATAATATTATTATTATTGATAATAATAATCGTTCAACTCTAAAACCGTTTTAACGCCTGGCTACCATGCCACCAGAAGGGAGTACGAGGGACGCAGGTCCAATTACTGTAAATGGAAACCGCGATGGGATTTCCGAAATACAGAAGATGTTTAACGATAAATTATCAACAGCTGGCGCAAGTACTGCTCATTGACCGACTTTTCTGATGGTCCCAACACTAGATAATGAGATAAAATTTAGAGAATGGCGTCCAGCTGCTGAAAATAAGGCGGTAAATATGAGCGTTCTGTGCGGTTGTTCATTGCTATGAGTGTCCGGTTGACGTATCTACGGCTAGGCCCTAATATGTTCTTATTAAACGAAGGGAGAAGGTAACTGAAAAGGAATGACTTAGATGGGTCGCGTATCCACCTTGTTGTGTGTAGCAAATAAGTCGTCCCAACTGATATTACGACATAAATGCCCATGCGGTATGAAGGAACTCTCAGTCCTAGGTTTCACGGTTGTATGTAGGCTATATATAGTGCAGGTTTCTAGCCTGAAGGAGTGCCATTTACCTGCACTGCCTAATGCCGGTCCATAAGGAATTCGAATGATCGTTACTAAACCGTAGACAAGCAACTAGTCTCCCGAACAGGATCCAAAACTCAGCTTGGTTGACCACCTTTGAGAATTTGACTGAAACGCCGTCCATCTTCTGCAGTTTTCTCGTCAACAAGCAACGTTTCTCGCACCAGCAGCATGATAAACAGCCAGGATTTACCATGGACAAATCCATTTTGTATCTTTGATAATACATTTCAAGAGGTCATCTATTCTTCAGCCACTTTTGGAACTGCCTTTTCCAAGACCTTACATAGAACACTTGTAAGGCAGGGCTGCAGAGTGATGCTTTGGACTTACTCCCATTCTTTTGAAGCGGCTTGGCAATGCCGAGGTCCTCATCATTCGGCATTCAGCTGGTGTTCACCCATATATGATAGATATTCATTCATCAAAGGTACCGCTGTCACTGAAACCAAATCTTTGAGAATTATTGGCTAGAAACGATCGAGTTCCAGAGCTAAGTAGCAATCAGAATGTTTCTGCAACCTTCCCCATGCTACTCTGTTGTTAGGTGGAGGGTGTTGTGCTGTTGTTGCCGGAAGTATCAGTTAGGGAATAACACGACGCGAAGTGTTCTGCTTTGAGCTCTTCTTGGGGCTGATCACCAATTTGTTCTCCGCAAACTTCATCAACCGTGATCATCTTGCTGGCGAAGCTGGCGATTCACATTTGAATATAAGCTGTTTCTGTGGTGGAATGCAACTATACTGACGTCCTCTCACACACCAGTATTCTTCTCCGATAGTATCCATCCGTGGTGTTGGCGGCCAATAGCGATGGCACTCTAATAACCATCTGTTCACAAGGAACTTCTTCAGCTATGAGACCTGTTGTATAGTTGTTGCAAGTTGACTTTGAATGTGCTTCACACCACTTCCAAATCCGCTTTCCTAGTGACAATTAAGTTCACTTTTAAGGACTTTTCCACACCTTAATTATATCCACTCTCCATTGGTTGGGTATTCATACTTGTCTTGGGTTATGTCCTCGTCCTGATCAGATGACAGCTTTCTTGATCGTGGCTGGTGACGTCATTTATAAATACTAAATTAACAACATATTGCGGGTCAGTATACGATGTTTCGACCTCCGTCCTTGAAGCAGACATCCGCTTTTTTCATCATTTGCGGTACCTGTTGCTCCCTGATCATCTTTTAGAATTACTTTTCAACAGCAGAGGCTCTCCTGATCATCTTCAATATGTGCCAATAGATTTTCTGCAAAGTGGAATCCCCCAAAAGTTATAATTGTCATTACAGAAGACCGTGAGGAGTGTAGTCAGCATGGTTCCAGATTTCACCAGATTACCACAGATAACAGAGTTCAGCGTTTGGTTGTTGGTCTGTTCGTCGAGCTTGGCAGTTGGATTGCAAACGTCTCATCACCAATCGAGGTGGCATCGTCAGTGCAAGGTTGAGTGGGTAAATTCTTCCTCTTCTGCCTGTGATTATATAGCTTCCAAACAGTATCTGGTAGTTCTGGAAACGGTCGTCGTATAGTTTGATTGGTCTACTGTAAATCTCACGTGGTCTCAATCTCTCTCGAACCGACCAGACACAGGAGATTGAGACCACGTGAGATTTACAGTAGACCAATCAAACTATACGACGACCGTTTCCAGAACTACCAGATACTGTATAGAAGCTATATAATCACAGACAGAAGAGGAGGAATTCACCCACTCAACCCTGCACTGACGATGTCACCTCGATTGGTGATGAAACGTTTGCAATCCAACTGCCAAGCTCGGCGAACAGACCAACAACCAAATAAATCAATCAATTTAGAAAAAGCCGCTGAGTGCTTAGGCACGCCACAGAAGCATGACCGAATGTGACCAGATTTCAGGCACTTCATAGAAGCACTGTCGATGGTGTGCAACTCAACGCCTATCGGGAAGCCTGGATCACTGTCAAAAATTGCCGTTTAAATAGCACGGAGCCGTCGTCACTTCTGCACTCGCACGCACTCGCTTGTTTGGAATAAAGCCCCTGTGTTCCTTATCAGTGAGTCTTCTCCCGGCACCAGGCACTGGAGT